ATCTGGGGCTGATTGACTAATGACAGGCATTAGTGCTTGTCCCTTCTTAGAAGATCAATCTAAGTTTGTATTTTTATGGAAAGCCTTCTAACAGGCTATGAAACACAGCTGGACTTTCCTCTTTGCCCTGTGTAACCTCTTTTACCTTTTCATTATTAATAGGTTTTATAAACTTTTTATTCCCATGATAAGAGTGGTCATCATTTTAGACCTCATATTTAGTCCATCTCTAGAATCATGGTACAAATAGTATAAATTTGTTTCCATCAGAGTGACAGTAACCTCTCTGGGGTGATTCCTTTTTCTTCTTACATCCTATTGTTCATCAGCATATCTTGCAGCCTCTTTTAGGATTGTTTTTCATCTCAAGTAAAGAAAGTGGCCAAGACAAACTGGACATATCACCATGATGTCCAGGTCAAAAGCAAGCTGCAAAGTTTGAAACCCATCAGCAAACCTACTAGGACCTTCTACGTTCTTTGTGTTCTGAACAAAGAATTGGACAAAACACACAGAAAAGGTAGCAGGGATGTACTTTTATTAGAGGTGAAATAGAAGTACACTCTGTAGTGTGAGAGTGGGCTGGTGAACAGACTCACAGTGCCCCTGATAATAAAAGAAAAGGGGTATTTTTATCTGAAATTCTTGGACTGGCTTCTCCCTCATGTAAATAATGCATTGGGACAGTGATCCTAATAAATACTCACTTATCCTGGTGCCAGATTTAAACTGCCCTGTGGAAAGATTCCCTTAGCTTCCCACCAGATGGAAGTAAAGAATGGAAAATAGCACTTTTCTGATTGGTTGTTCGTACAGTTCTCTGTGCATGTCCCTTGAGTCTTCACGACTCTGGCAGATTCTTCCCACTTGTTTGATTGGCTTGTCTGAGCCCTAATCTCCTACTTCACTCTCATTATAGAATTCTGGCTGCAACCTGTACAGTTAGTATGCAGCTTCTAAATGGTACTAAAAATCTGCTGCCTATCCTAGAATAGAGGTGGTTATTAGACCAGAAAAGGAAACCAAAACAAATGAGTACTGCAAATCAGCAAAATCCTTGAACATTTTTTTCTATTCCTGAATCTCTTTTACCAGTCAGTGCTCCAAAATTACCTCTAGTAGTCCAAGGGGCCCCAAATGATGAAGACGCTTACTTCACTCAAATGGCACTGCCAGTGACCTACGAGAAGGTCCAAATGTTATGGACAGTAGATCCTTGGAGGGCGTTCTTCAGTGGGAAACCACTGAAGCTATTCCAAACAACCTTTTCCCTTTTAACAACATATACATATATATATATATATATATATATATATATATATATATATATATGGGCAGCTGATGTTATAAACAGGAAAGGAGGGAGGATTCTCAGGTGCAGAAGTCTCCCTGGCAGCTGCTGCAATATCTCTGGAGTGTACTCCATGGGTTCCACTAGCCATGAGCAGTCAGTCCCTTTCCCCAGGTGCTTGCCAGGATGCATGGCTCTCAGGAGCTGGGACTTGCCTCGTGGCTGGCTACGCCAAATCTATTATCAGCCACCAAGTTTCATATGCTCATGTTCTTTTTCTAGCTGCTGACTAAATCAAAGCCCCCTTTTATTATTAAAAAAAATGAAAAGAAAAAGGATTTATTCAAAGCTAGCTTTGAGGAGATGGAGGGGCCCATTTGCCTCAAATCATAATTTTACCATGTACAGTTGTGTAAGGGTCTTTTTAAAGCAAGGGACAGAGGGGAGGGGAAGCACAGAGAAATAATGGAGATCTCTACCCTTGATTTGTCACTTCCAGCCACCTTAAGCTCATCTTCCCCTTTCTTGTGGAAAGGAAACTGGGCTCCTGCTTCCTGTTGCCATTATCTTCATATTTTGTCTATTCATTTGGCCTGGGGAGAGCTAACGGGAGCTGTTTGTACCCCAGCTCTGAAAAAAGTTTGAAAAAGTTTGGAGACAATTAACTCTTTAAAAAAAATCTAACTTTTCAAGTTCTATTCTAGGTACCAGTTACACTGGGTCAATTTTTTGTTTCACAAATAAATAGTTCTGTCCTATTCTATGAAATAAATGTATTTTCTTTATGTTCCCCAAACTTCCAACTAACAATGGACTTGCTGAAATGTTATGGCTTGAAAAATTTAGTTCCTGATGGCTTGAAAATCAAAAACTAATTGAAAGTTGGTTGCTAAGTGGAGAGATTAAAAAATTAAACATGGAAAGCTAAATGTGTTTCCTAGGCAGGGGATTTTGAAATAGGCAGTGTGTTTCTCATAAAAGGCTCTGAGTCTGACAATAGCATGACTAATTATAGAACAAAAGTAGAGTTGAGGATCTAGCTCAGTGTTAACAATGCTGGCCTAACGTACTTGAGGTTTGGGTTTCAAACTCCAGTACCTCAATTTAAAAAACGGAGAGAAAAGTTACAAGAGGTATCGAGTAATTGGATTACAGTTTTGTTTATAATAGCCTACATTTTCAGCATAATCAGAATATTTATAATGACCTTGTAGTATATAATTATAAAAAAATATTTTAATATGTTCCTCACATACACTTTTAAAACATGAGTACAAAATACCCACAGACACAAAAATATTGTTGTTATATATATTTGGGGTAAAATATAACTGCAATCACCAATTTAATAAATGAATTAATATTGTTATTAAACATATACTGTTATGCAATGTGTGAGAAACTGAGCTGTAGTGTGACTAAAACAAAATTACTGTAGAAAGCTTGGACTTGCATAGAAATGATAATGCATAATTTATTTAATAACTTTACTGTAAGTTAAAAGTTCATGATGATGAATTAACAGGATATCTAGAAATATAAAAACTGTACTGGTTAAAAATAAGCATACATTGGGGCTGGGGATTTAGCTCAGTGGTTTCACTGCCTGCTGTGCAAGCGCAAGGACCTGAGTTCGATCCCCGGTACCAAAAAAAAAAAACCATATATTGATTACTTAATATAGTTCAATTTTAGGAATGTTTTATTTTGGAAATATATATTCACTGTGGAATCAACTAAGGTAACTCAAATCATTTTTATAAAATGGGATCATTTCTGTCAGTGTTTATGCCTATGTTGCCAAAATTCAGATGCATGAAAATCTCTTGGAAAGCTGTCCAAATAGGCTGGCAGTAGGAAGGGTGCCCATGTTAGAATGTAACATTTTTCCTAGGTGATTATGATACAAGTACAGGGCCTGTGTTCCCTTAAATGCTATCATATAAAAAGTTTTTGGATTTTAGAGACTTTGCTATGTTCCTTTAGAAATTAAATATACTTTCCACATAATTAGTTACTTACCTTCAGCCTCCATGTTAAAGGGTCTATTAGAAAGAGTGTTATGCAGGGTTTGTAACTCCATTATAGTTAGTCAAAATATTTTAATATCTACTATATCAGGTACCATACTAGAAACTGAGCTCCTGGATAAGATAAAATCACTCTGAAGAATGGCACACATTTCTATAGAAATCATGTCAAATATTTTATGTAGTTCCTAAGAGCTTACAAAGTAGTATCATCTTTCAAATGCGGATGGAGAGGGCTTCAGCTTTAATAAAAATGTGTTCTTGCACTGTAATTTACATGCCTGGTTAAATCTGTAATACTAGATGGGCAGGCCTGCTGTTATAGATTGCATCTTTATGTCCCCCCAAAGCCTCATGTGCTCATAAGTGAGGCTTTTCAGAGGTGACTGAATATGGATTAAAGGGTGATAACTAAAACAGTCCACTGATTGGTTTAGCATAGTTCTCAGTGTGGACGATGGAAAGGCCCACCTTGGGTGTGAGTGGCTAGGCTTGTTGCCTAATGTGATATAAGGGAAAGGAAGAATCGCTGCTTCACTGCTTTCTGTTTACCACACCATAAACTGTTTCTCTCCTGTCATTACCCTGTGCCATGCTGGCCTGCCTTGGAGCCAGCCAACTATGGACTGTAATCTCTACAAACTGTGAGTTAAAATAAATCTTTCCTCCTTTAACTTGTGGGTATTGGGTATTTTGTCCCAACAGCAAAGAAATAACTAAGGCACCTGGCAAGAGTCTCCGTTGAGAAAAACCACACAAAGGATTTAAACAGAGGCAAAAAAAAAAAAAGTCTTCAGCTTATTTATGTTATGGAGTTTTGTTGTAATACAATTCTGGGCACAACCTGGTGAAACACCTCGATATATCTCCTGAGCTAGGCCCAGGGGCATTCATGTCTGAGTTCTTTGAAGAGAAGGGGCATAAAAATAAAACCAGGAAGCAATATTTTGTGAAACATCTATGTAAGCCCAAGAACCATGGGACTTACACTCAACTGGAAAATATAAATCTAAAATTGTAAATAAAAGCATTCTTCACACTTCTACAGAGGCCACAGAGGAGATGTGGCTCACTAGGCACTCCAGAGAAATCATGGGGTTCAGCTATCTTGAGGACTGTAATTATGTCACCAATAAGAACAGAAACAGAACTCAGCAGAAGTGTCCCACTAACATGTTAATAATCAGAAGAACAGGAGGATTGCAAGTAATAGAGGAATGGCATGGGGAAACCTACTTATTTTTATTGTATAGACTTGTGATCATGAATGAGAATGGCCTTCAGTTTTCTGCAAATACCTGGGTCCCATTAAATGGTGGGGAGTTGGACAGGAACCAGACCAATATAGTTCTATACCTTGTCTGTTCCACTCAGCAGCCTTGTAAGACAAGCATTATTCCCTATATCACTGAAGAGAAACAGACCATTTAAAGGAATGTATTTTAATAAAGGGAGTGTTTACTCTTAAGTTTGTCAAGCCAGTAAATACTATGTATCTGCACTACACTAAAAACACTCATTGAAAAATTATTTTCATACTCCACGTAATAAACAGAAAAAAATCACATATCATCCTACCAGAGAAATATGTGCCCCAATTAACACTCTGGTATATTGTTTTTTTTGGTTCATGTCTTATATTTATATATACATACATTTTAAAGGAGACAATACATGTATATATAGCTTATTAAGTGCTTTATTAACTTCACATTTTTCCATGCAAATATGTAAAACTCTACTGCTGACAGAAATTTAGAAGTGTCTAAAGCAATCTCTAATTAGAAGCTGGCAACACAAGACCCACCTGACACATGGAAATAACAGAAGGTTCACAGTAAATAGATCAATAAAGGCATATTAAGAAAATGCAATGAAAACAGTGAGAATCACAGTATCAATCTCATGTAAAATGGTAGAAGTCAAGGCATAAGGCAAAATTCATCATGATGGTCATGGTGATTGGAGAGCTCCCCCATAAGAATACGCAGACAATTTCTCAACTGTAGCTCTCTAAGTTTTCTCCTGATTTCTCTCATCTCCTCCATAAACATTTCCATATCATCTCCATCTCCACCCATCCCATCATTGATCTGCCTATTGGGTATGGCCCATCGAAAATTAGGGGCAAGTCGGCGAGACTGTCGTCTGTTATTTCCTGCAGGCTGGCGGCCTTCACCTCCTCCCAAAGGTTGGTTTTCCTCTCTATTCTGCATGTGCTGTTCCATTTCTTCGTTTTCCTGGTGGATATTTGCCATGATGAGATTTTTTTTCTGGTTGTTTTTCTTTGAACACAAGTGAGACAAGAGCAAGGAGAGAGACTGAATGCTTAGTGCATGCACTAACCAGCAGATTTCAGAGACTTGATATATATCAGTAAGGTTTTTTTTTTTCCTTTTAAATGTCATTTTCCCCCATCTAAGAGGCTACACACGACTCTAGGGGTCCTCTAATTTGAGCCCCTCCTTTTATTTCCTCCTCTTCCCTCCCTCCCTCAAAGCCCACCATTTTTCCTTTCCCAGAGCTCTGCAGGCACCAAAATGGAGGACGGAAATGGGGTAGGAAGAGAGAAGGAAGGAAAGGAGGGGGAGGTGGGGTGGGGTCTCGAACTGGGCTTTCCACACGCGCCCCCTTCCACCTGCACCGACCTGGGCCTACCTTTATCTCCTCTTCTTCCCTGTCCCGATTCTTGCTGCCAGGAGCGCAGCCTTGGCCCTGGGTCCCACAAACCTGCAGACGGTGGGTGGGACGTGCCGGGCAGCAGGAGCCTAGTGCTCACCACTGCCTCCCGCCCCGCCCCTGCGCCTTGTCCACTTCCTCCCTTCCTCTCCGCGCCCAAGCTCCACAAACCCAGAGTCTCCACCCATTCCCCCCACCCCCGCAGCTTTTACAACCAGGGTGATTTCCCTTCCCTCTGCCATCCCTCCTCCTGGAACCCTAGTTGCCCCTGCATCCCCGCTGTCAGTGTGCCCAAGAATGCTGGGGTTTAGAGAAAGCTTGGAGACCTGCGGCTCAGTTCTCCTGCACTCACCGCCAGGTGGGCAAGCTGCTGCTGCTGCCTAGCTGTGCCACGCGGGCCCTGGGGCCCTTACCTGCTCCGCTTTCTCAGGCCCAATGCCAGCCTGCTGTGTGCAGGGAAGCGCGGAGCTGGTAGCTAGATGAGAGTGAGAACTGCACCTAGGGCTATGTAACTCTGCGGTCAGGGTCACGTGAGGAGTGCACGTCACTGGTGAGCTGGCCCCCTCACTACTGGCAGCCAGTGCTGCAGGAACATACCAACGCCAGCCTTATGCACGTACGGTCCCCTTGCCGCTTGTTTGTATGCTGTGCTCCTTTGCACACCGCCAGTTACTCATCTTGGTTCTCTCCTATCCAGGGGTCTACAAATAGCGTCACCATCTTGAGGTTGTATTTGCTCCTTTTCTGGTTGCTAGGAAGGATCTACAGCATCCACCACCGCCCCTCCCACCTTGCCCCCCCCCCGCCCCACACACCTTGAGGTCGAGTGGGCTGTATATAATTCCTTTTTTTTTTTTAAGGTAGCATAACTCAGAAATTATGAAGTCTTCACCTTTAGAAGAAATACTTCATCCTGCAACGTAAAAAGGCTTGTTGTTTATGCTGATCTGTACCACAGAAATATTTTCTCGAGGCTGCACATCATATAAACATCACTTTTGAAACACTGTATACTAGCCTGTTTCTAAATTTTATTTTAAAAAGGAGGAATTGTTCCTGAATACAGTTAGCATTTTAAAAATGATCTAGAGTAAATCTGGGAGAAGTCCAGTTTTCACATCTTGGCCATTTTATGTAATTTTTTGTATATTTTATTTTCCTGTGAGATGTTATATGCTTTTTTGAAAGTTAAAAAATTTATTTTAGTTTATTAGTATATTTGTGTAGTACATAATGTTTACATTGTTTATGGGAAGTTGGTACATGTATATAATACATCTTAATTTCTTTTTAAAGATCCCCTTTCCCTTCCCTCCCTTTTTTGGCTCCACGGTCACCAGAGAAACCTTCTTATTCCCTGCTTTTCCTTCCAAACATTCCAAGCCACCCCTACAAATGCTTTCTTAGAATGAGCTCAGAAGTTACATATATAGTATGCAGAAATTAGTTCCCAAGCCATCTCAGTGTGAACACTTCAAAAATATTAGAAATAAGCAGGTGATGGGTGAAACAACTAAACTAGAAGCTAAAACTCAGGATCCTGAGTGTAGATGTTCCTTTCTTCAACCTTGAAATCCACTTTTTAAAAATGCTTATGAGGTAGTAATGGAGACAGCACAATTGGGAGCTAAGAGACCATTTTTCTCCATTCACTGAAACCTGGTTGATTGTCCCAGGGCCAACCCTCAAGCCTACCTCGGGGTTTACCACCTGGTGGTCCAGATAAAGGAAACAAAAAACCCCCCAAACCCACCAGGGAAAGTTCTGAAAATGCCAAATCAAGATGCAGGCACACTAGACCTCCTTGTGTACCCTAGAGTAACCTTTCTTGTCTTGGAGCTCATGGAAAATTCGTGCATATAGACTGGCTCTTATACATACAAGTATAACAGAGTGAATTAGGGTAAATGATAATAGTCCCAGCAGACATGGCTCAGTAACCTGTCAATCATGCTGCCAGTCATGTTCTGGAGGACCTGGATAAGAGGTACCTTAAAGCAGTCTGGATATGTAAATCCCTACACCTTCTAGACTCCTACTATTTTCCTTTCACCTGTGTGACCCTGCCCACTCAGAGTATATTTTCACTTTAATAAACTTTGCCACTGTTTCCTTGTGGTCCTGTGCTATTTGTTGCACACAAGAACCTGGGAGCCTCTCCTGGGACACTAAAGTAGAAGAAATAAAAGTTTGGTAAAATGAGCTAGTACCCATCTGGGAGGTAGGCTGCATTTTCATGAGGTTTCACCCCCCTCAAGAAAAACATAAATGATCCTAGTTCCAGAAAATAATTGCCTCTCCCTCCTGAGGGCCCAGTCTCTATTTCTTTCAGTGTGTAGTTTTGAAGTTTTGCCTAAGAAAACCCTTCCTGTGACTCTTACTGACTAGTCCTGAAAATTCTGCAACACTAGTCAGTGGACCTAGGAACCTATTCTACAGGTAGGGTAGGCAAGATTTCTTATTTCAGCTTCAGGAACCTCTTTGGACTCAGTCCTGGGCCATTCAACCTAGAAAATAGAGAGATCTTTAGGAAAGTGGTATTGTTATTAATAAATTTAGTAGGTGTTGGTTATGACAAAAGAATCAATTCATTGTATATATCACTGTAATAAAACAGACCAGACAAATGCTTACTGCCTTTAGTTTGGGCCCCAAACTCCAATATAATGTCCTACCCTCTAAAGGAGGTGGGTTATTGAAGAAAGGAAGAGTTTGGGCTTGGTGCATATATTGTTGAAGGTTTTAGAGATATATATTATAAAATTGCATATATATGCTTTTAGAGATATGTAGGTATACTAATATATAGGTCCAAAAACTCAAATAACAAAATCATACCCCATAATAGTCTTTTAAAGGAACATAAATAATCTCTGGATTCTGTCTCACAGTTAACAACTCTTCACTATTAAAAATAAAAACTTAAGACAAATTAAATTTAGCAGAATTTGAGCAAAGACTGATTCACAAATTGGGCCGAACTCAGAACCTAAATAGGTTCAAAGAACTCTGGTCTTAAAAATGGTCAGACAGCACTTCATGGACAGTAAATTGAAATGTACATACAATGGAGATGAAGTACAGAGACCACTTGATTGGTTACAGCTTGGAGTTTTTCTTATTTAAACCTGGGTTGAATAGTTGGTAGCCTACTATTGACTAAAGCTGGGATGCTGTGTATCTTAGTTACTTTCTCATTGCTAGAACAAAATACTCAACACCCACAAGTTAAAAGAACAGATGTTTCTTTGAGCCACAGTTTGTAGAGGTTTCAGTCCATAGTCAGCTGGCTCCAAGGTAGGGCAGCATGGCAGAGGGACATGGTGGAGAAGTAGTCCATGGCAGGGCAGGAAGGAAACAGAAAGCAGCAAGCCTTCCCTTCCTTTTTTATTTAGTAGGTGTTGGTTATGACAAAAGAATCAATTCATTGTATATATCACTGTAATAATCTGGAAAAATGAACATTGAAAGCCCAGAAACTGCAAGAAGAATTAGCCTCAGGAAAATTTGTAGAACAAGCTAATTCTCCAAAACACCAGTGAGGAGAAGAGGAACCAAATTCTCAGATGGAAAAAGATCATAACAGTGAAGATGAGAATGAAGATAAATATGCAGATGACATTGACATGCCTAGACAGAATTTTGACACTAAGAGACAAATTACTGTCCATAATCTCAGTATTTGAGAAGATATTGCAAAACACTTGAGAAATTTGGATCCAAATTCTGCCTATTATGATCCAAAAACTAGATCATTGAGAGAGAATCCATATGCCAATGCAGGAAAGAATCCAGATGAAGTGAGTTAGGCTGGAGATAACTTCGTTAGATACACAGGAGATACTATTTCAATGGCTCAGACACAGTTGTTTGCTTGGGAAGCCTATTACAGAGGATCTGAAGTTCATCTACAGGCAGATTCTACAAAACTAGAGCTGTTGTATAACTCCTTAAAAGTCAAAAAAGAAGATTTCAAAGAACAGCAGAAAGAAAGCATCCTGGAAAAGTATGGTGGCCAAGAACACTTGGATGTGCCTCCAGTTAAATTGCTCTTAGCCCAGACTGAAGACTATGTGGAGTACTCAAGATATGGCACTGTCATTAAAGGACAGAAGTGGGCCATTGCCTGCTCCAAGTACAAGGAAGATGTGAAAGTCGACAATCACACACATATCTGGGGATCTTACAGGAAAGAGGGCAATTGGGGATACAAATGCTGCCACTTGTTCAAGTATTCCTATTATACAGGTGAAGCTAGGAAGGAGGTCGTAAATTCAGAGGAATGTATTACAAATGATATAAGTGGAGAAGAATCTATGAAAAAACCTCAGACCCTCATGGAGATGCACCAGGAAAAAATAAAAGAGGAGAAAAAGAAGAAGAAAAAGAAAAAGAAGCACTGAAAGAGCACCTCAGAGAGTGATGATGAGGAAAAGAAACAGGAAAAATTGAAAAAGGCATTGAATGTTGAGGAAGCCCACCTTCTTCAAGTCAAAGAGATCATGCAGATTAATGAGAGGAAGCGGCCTTATAATAGTGTGTATGAAACTCGGGAGCCCACTGAAGAGGAAATGGAGGCCTATAGAATGAAATGTCAGTGGCCAGATGACCCCATGGCCTCTTTCTTTGGACAGTAGTAATTAATCATGAATGGTCATCCCAGACAGACACAACTGACATACTCTTTTAAGCTTCTTGATAATTGTAGGTAGAAGAATCCTTGCCTACCCTTCTTGTTCCCCAATTGTAATAAAACTTCAAGAGTCTCAAAAAAAAAAAAAAAGAATAAATTTCTGTTGTTTAAAGCCACCCAGTTTGTTGTATTTTATTAAACCAGCCCTACAAAACAAACAATGCATGAATGAAAAAGAATAACATTATGAAATCAACCAACAGCAAATGCTGGTGGTGCTGTAGGGAGAAAGGAACCCTTATTCATTGTCGGAGGTAGTATAAACTGATACAACCACTATGGAACTCATTATGGAAATTTCTCAAAAACTAAAACTAGAAATTCCATTTGGCCAAGCTATTCCTTTTCTAGGTATAGTCCCCAAAGTGTTAAAGTTATCATATTACAGTGACACATGTATACCCGTGTTTATAGCATCAAAATTCATAATAGCTAAATCTTGGAAACAGCCTGTATGTCTATCAACATATGAATAGATGAAGAAAATGTTATTTAATCCCAATGGAGTATTACTCTGCCATAAAAGAGAATAAATTTGAATCATTTGTACGAAAATGGATGCACCTTGAGACCACAATATTAAGAGAAGTAAATCAGAAACAGAAGCTTAAATATTGTATGGTTTATGAAAATCTTAATATATATATAGTACAAAATAAAAGACATAATAGGAAAAAAAGAAAAGTTACTTTAATGCAGCACAGACAATGAATCTAAAATGTACCTTGACTTAGTACAATTGTCTTACTTGTCTTATGTTTTTTGGCCTATTAGTATGATTTATAATCTGTGTATATGATAATTAACATTTTAAGGTTTTATGAGACACATACATGAATCTGATGCTGGTA